GTAAGGTCAAGGGGGCCCAGAGAGGCCTTTCTTACTGTCAGTGAACTAGTCACACAGCCTGTGCCGACATATACCAGATTGTGCAGTCTGAAATGGGAAATAATCTCACTACTGCTCTTCCATTATCTGGTTTCAAAATGGAAATTTCTAGAAAAACTCCAGCAGGCTTGCAGGACCCCAAGAGTCTTTGATCTGTCATACTAACTTGGTTTCTTTCTCAGTGTGGGAGAGGTAATTTAAAAATTATGGGCTAAAACTTGATTTAGAGCTGTAATTGATAGAGACCAAGCAGAGTGAGAAGGGAAGCCAAGTTCACTGGCTCCAGGTCCTCCAGGGTGGAAGTTCGAACTGTTCTGTTGTACAATTTTCCTCCTAGTGTTCCTTTCCCTTCCAAAAAGTTCCCCACTGGGCCCTGTGTTTGTGAGAGCCAGAACAGGGACATGGATGCCCAACAGTGCCAGGGCAGGAACAGGAAGCAGTTTGTCTCCAGTGTGGAGGATGCCCCCCTACTCCTGGATATGCTAAGTGAAACCACATCCATGAGCAGTTCCTCCTCCCCGGCCTTGAACTCTTGTGGACAAGAAGTCTGATATATCAGGAGGTGTGTCTGTAGAGCTAGAAGAGAAATCTTAGGCCTCTTCTGGCTTTGAGACTTTACACTTTCATAAGCCATGGGACCCTTACTGCCCCACAGACCCCCAAGCCCTTGGTCCCCTTCCCCTCTTCTCAGACCTTCTCAAGGGAATCCCATAGATACTTAAATAGAGTAAGGTTGTAAATTCAGTGTCCCTCTCCTGCATCCATTCTACAACCTGAAGACTGAGCCCACTTACCAAGTAGACCTACTATTACACAGAAAGTCACATGGGAAACTGGATGTTAGGACAGGCTTATATAAGTGATACAATGTAATCTACAGAGAACTTGTAGAAACACATTCTAGAGTCACAAATTAATTGAAGTAGGTCTTAAAATGCAAGGCTGAGCCAAAGAGGAAGTCTTGGAGTACATTACAGAAAGCCTCCTTCATCAGGTGCTCCTGTCATACCCAGTGCTTGTAGCATTACCAAAGGCAACAGACCTAGATTTCAACACCTGCCTCATACCCTGTCCCCTCATCTTTATTCTCACCGTGGACAGAGGCCTGTACGTCTTACCAGGAACCAAGAAAAGGAAGCTGTCTAGGGAAAGCCTCAAAGAAAGTCCACATCTATGCAAGCCTCTGGAGCTCCAAGAGTACAACCCTCCCATTGTGCAACCAGTGTTCCTCATAAGGAAACCATAAAGAGGCTGTACCAGGCTCTGGGGCTATTCATTAAGATTCGTTCTGCCTCCTTGAACTTAGACCTGCTAAGCTAGACCAGGGCCAAGCCTGGATACAGCCATGAAAATTATACAGCAGGTCTTTGTGTGACAGAGTAATCCCAAGCTAGCACTTTAGGCATGGCTATCAGCACCTGTGCGTGTGTAGTATGTGAGTAAAGAAGGATTAAAGTCAGAGTCACTGGGTCATTTTCTTATTTTGAATGTTGAAAGCAGTATGAAATAACTCGGGAGAGGAAAAACTAACCTGGGAGGTTCGTGCCATAAGGTGGTTTGGTGAGCGTGGTCACTGGTCCTCCTTGTTGCAGTGATTAACCAGAAATGCCTGTGCTTGCAGATCGGGCCCGGGTGTTGGGCGGTCTCCCCGATGTCGTTACCATCCAGGAGGGCAAGGTGAGTAAGGAGCACTGCTGTCCCAGCTCCCATACTGTGGCCCTTCTTTTAGTGGTACTGATATCACTGTCTCTTAATCCCTTCTGCTTTACTTGACCAGGTTTAAAACTTAAGTATTCCAATTACTAAGGTCTTACCAGCTATGTATCAAGATGCAAATTTGTCCCATAAAGATATATGTAGACCACACTTTAAAATTGGGTGAACTTTTCCATTGTATGAAAATGAAGATGAGAATATTGACTCATACTCTCTAAGAAGTAGAAGAAATGACTCCAGCACACATTGGGAAGTGGACTCTAATAAGAGTCTCACATTTACAGAGATACATGCTGTTCCTTGAGTTTCTATTGCTGATAAAAAAAAAACAAAAAAAACTAACTTTGTTCCATTTGATATTAACCCAGTACTTCTGGCTTCATAATAATCTGAGAAAATGAACTTAATTTCTGACCTGTAAGCTGGGCATGGTAGTTCACACCTGTAATCTTATATTTCAGTAGGAGGATCTGGAGTTCAAGGCCAGCTTTAGCTACACAGCCAGACCCTATCTGAAAACAAAAAATAGTTTGATATGCCAGTTGTGAGTACAGAAAGATTTGTAGTGAAATAAAACCTTTTCCCACCTCAAAGGGCAGTAAAGGCCTGCAGTGGTTGGGGTGGGGAAGCTGGAGGGAGTGGAACTCAGGTTTCATCACAGCATTTTAGTCAGACGTTGATTCTATTTAGCTACATCTGTTTGTAGGTTGATATAGGATCACAGTCAACTTTAGGCTCAACTATTATAAAGCTGCTTTTGTTCTTTTAAAAAAATTTTTTTTCAGACATGGTCTCCCTATAGCCCCAGCTGGCCTGGAACTCACTATGTAGATGAGGCTAGCCTTGAACTCAGAGAGATCTGCCTATCTCTGCCTCCCAAGTTCTGGGATTAAAGGCGTGCACCACCATGCCTAGCCTGCTCTTGTTCTTAAATGCTCTCAACTCACTGGCAATAATGAAAAATAGGAGACATTGAATCCACAACTCAGACCTAAGTGTAGATACCTGTTTCCCACAATGCTTAGGGTATTTCACAGTTTTTGTTTGATTTAGTTATGTTTTAACCCCAAGTCAACACAGTGCCCAAAATTATATGCCTTGGATGCATTTAATGGCAATGATTTGACTCATACTTATTAAAATTATTACATCTATGTGTTATTTATTGTCAGGGGTGGGGGTAAATGCTATAACATGATTATGAAGGTCAGAGGACAATTTGCAGGTATCGATTTTCTTTCCACAATGTGGTACCCAGGGATCAAACTCAGGTCATCAAGCTTGGCACCAAGTGTCTTTACCCACAGAGCCATCTCTCTGGCTTGTACTTTTCTTTCTGAAATGAACTCATGGAATAATTCAGTAGGAAATGCTCATTAAAACTGGGAATGATGTCACATGCTTATAATCCCAGCACTTGAGAAGCTGAGGCAGGAAAATCACAAGGTTCAAGGCCAGCCTGGGCTACATAGCCATATCTCTAAAAAGAAATTGCTAATTAATGATGAAATGAAAGAGATTATGTAATCTACTCAACTTGACGCCTACAGAAAGGTCATAAGTGATAGCAGGTTCTCCACTGGGAAGATACTTAAATGGATACTCCTTTCCTAATGCAAGGATTTAATATGTAAATTTAACATCAGTAGCCATCCAGGAGGTGAAAGACACAATAAAATATTGTAACATACCTACCTGAAGGCAGTGATAAACGGTACACAACAACAAAATGCACAATGAAAGATATGGAAGAACTGAGTCACTTGTGCATTGCTGGTGGAATGTAAACCAAAATTACACCAACTCAGGAAAACAGCTCAGTAGTTTCTAAGGAGAAAAATGAATCATGTAGTCCAGCAACTGTGCCCTGGGCGTTTATCCTAGAGAAATGGAAACATGTTCACATAAAAGCCTCTACAAAAGTGTCCATAGGAACTCTGTTCATGAAAGCACCAAACCCGAAACAGCACAGATGACCCTCAGAGACATGCACATGCTCCACAGCATACTACACAGCAGTGAAGGGCCAAAGGGCTGGTGCATGCAGCCACGTGGGTGGATCTGTGCAGAATTACACCCAGTGAAAAAGGCAGTCTGGAAAGGCTGCATCCCGTAGATTGTGTTTATATAACATTGTTGAAATAACAAAGTGCTATAAATGGAAAACAGACTGGCAATTGGGGATTAAGAACAGAGTTGAGAAGTTAGAGGGGGGAGGTGGGTGTGGCTGTGAAAGGACAACACAAGGTGAGATTGTGATGATGGAAACACTATCTACATTGACTATGATGGTGAGAACAAGAATCTACACAAGTGATAAAGCTGAATAGAACAAACCCAAGCACAAACACAAATCTCTGTGCTACTTGTTACAGTTACATGTGAAACTTGCTATTTTCTAAAATGTATGGCAGAGAACTGCAGCCCAACTATCAACTTTTGGTAGAACACAGTTTCAACATGGACAGGAATATTTGATTTAGGATGCATTTTGGCAGAGCACCTCTGCAACAACACAGATTAGATAGGGTTCAGGGAACCAAAGAAAATGAGGAAGATGGAATGGGAAGATCAGTTACATTATCCCAGCAGCTGTTGCCATTCAGCTGCTGGGCTCCGACACAAATGAGATGCAGAAGTGAGCAGGCAGTGATTAGAGCCATGAGATCTCTCCACCAAGATAGCCCAGAGCACCACATTACAGCAAAAGGCATCTGGGTGCTTATGAAGAAGAAAATTGAGAAAGGAAAATTCCTCTGAGTGTTCTGACAACATGCATTTCAGAAGGCCCAAAGCCCTGCCTGGTCCTAAAGAGACATACTTGCGGGGCTGGAGAGATGGCTCAGTGGTCGGGAGCACTGACTGCTCTTGCAGAGGACCCGGGTTGGTTTCCCAGCACCCACATGGTGGCTAGCAACCATCAATAACTCCAGTTCCAGGGGAATCCAATGCCTTCTTCTGACTTCCGTGGGCATTGCACGACATGGGTGCACTCACACACATGTAGGCAATAGACTCATTCACATAAAATAAAGATGATAAAGTGTATTTTTTTTTAAAAAAAAGGCATACTTGCATGTTATCTCAGATTGTATCTCCCACAGATATAGACATATAACTACTTTAAACGCTGGGGCCCGGGAGCCTGGTTTTTATCATGTATATGAAGTTGGATCATCCTAGCTGATTTGCCCTCTTCTTTCCCATAAAATCTACCTTGCAGGCACTTAATCTCACTTGCAGTGTGTGGGGCGACCCACCCCCAGAGGTGTCTTGGCTGAAGAACGAAAAGCCACTGGCCTCGGATGATCACTGCAACCTCAAATTTGAGGCCGGGAAGACTGTCTTCTTCGCCATCTCAGGCGTGAGCACTGCAGACTCTGGAAAGTATGGGCTGGTAGTGAAGAACAAGTTCGGCTCAGAGACCAGCGACTTCACTGTCAGTGTGTTCATCCCAGAGGAGGAGGCCAGGAAGGGCACCTCAGAGGCCCAGAAAGCCAGCCAGAAGTCCAAGTGAATGGAGACAGAGCGATCTATGAGGAGAGCCTGGACCAGCCGAGCCAACTGTGCTGCTTGTGTGAAAATGATCTGGGTTACAGATGAGGAAGCCCTCCAGGCTTCCCCTCCATTTTTTGTGCTGGCTTGGGGGAGAGAGGATTGTCAAATCTTTTATTCATATAAATATGAAGTATTGGTTAATGATACCTTAATGGTTATTATCTTCAATTTATATAGCACAAACTTTAGGAAATAGTTTCAAAGAGAAGGCCAAAAAATGTTGAAGTGATGATGGTCAGAAAGCATAGAAGTGATGTGGGGCAGAGTTCGGGTTGGATGAAATTTTGCCATTAAGTTCTTAAAGTCTATGTCTACACTTGCAAAATGGAGGCAAAGCTGTTTAGGGCCATGAGTGTGGTTGGTCACTAGTGGTTAAGGTAGTGATGGTATATTTCCGTTGGCAGCCTTGCGATGTGGCCTCCTCAGTGTGAATAAACAGTCTCCCACCTTTCCTCTTCCTCCTCGTGTCTCTCTTCTCACTGAGTGGGTCGCTGCTTCAGCACCTCTCTGCCTCTTCCTTGTTCCCTCTGTAGCTCATCTGACCAATACCCTTTGGGGAAAAGCAGTTCCTCCAAATAGGCTGTCTGAGGTCAGAAATCCTAGTGACAGGGTGCATCTGATTACTTACCCCACATGCCCTCATTAAGATATTCATGGCCATTGATTAAAATGTGTTAATTCTTTATAACAAGATGATATGGGGTACTGAGTAACAAAACTGGCAACTAAGGGCCCACATGGAAACATAAAAGGCATTAAAACACCCTTCCTTTAAGATCAGAGAGCTCACTGCCAGATTTAGGGTGCGATGTCAGGCTTGATGAGAGGCAACTTCTGCCAGCAGCAGACGTTTGGTCCCCACCCCAACACGATATGCACATGTGCAGGCATGCATACACACAGACCTGCCTACTGGAGGAAAATGGAAATGGTGACGAGGTCTCCCTTCTTTTCTCCTGCTAAAGGTGGGTATCTTGGTCCATTGTGTGCCACTATAACAGAACACCTGAGACTAAGTCATTTGTAATGAAAACATTAATTTCCTAAAGTTGTAGAGGCCTGGACATCCAAGATCAAAGGGCTCATGTCTGGCAAAGATTAGGAGACTAGAACCTGCAGCATTGTCAAATGCCAGAAGCAGGGAGAGCAGGAGAGTGAACTCACAAGGGGGGTGGGGGGTAGCTGAACTCAGCCTTTGATTTGGAACCCACTCCCCAGGTAGCTAAACCAACCTACCATGCACTGTATCATAACTGCATTAATCCCACTTTCGACTATTTTTTTCTTTATTCCTTTCTTTCTCTCTCTCTCTTTCTTCCCTCCTTTCCTCCCTCCCTCCATTCCTGCCTTCCTTCTTTCCTTCTTTCTTTCTCTTTCTTTTGAGACAGGATCTTGCTTTATAGCCCTGACTGGCCTGGAACTCACTATCTAGACCAGACTGGCCTCAAAATCACAGCAATTCACCTGCCTCTGCCTGTCACATGCTGGGATTAAAGGTGTGCACCATCACACCCAGAAAGGTTCTACTTCTTAACACTGTAGCTTTGGAGATTAAGTTTCTAATACTTTGGGCATGGACACCGTCAAACCATAACAGTAATGGATGGAACAAAAGACTTCCTTATACAGGAGGAATAATTCCTGAGCCTCTTGATCTTTCAAAAATTCAAGGCTCAAGTTTCTGCTTTTCTGACTCTTGGACATTCACTTGTCCAGCTGGGTGTCTGCTGTAGTATTGAACCCCAGGTAGGAGCAGAGTGCTGTGTTCTCACTGCTGGCCACAGCAAGCGCTATGAGCTGGACGTGGTTTGAGTGTATCCTGATTGTAGTGGGACCTTTACATGGTGGGGCTGAGTGGGAAGTCCATAAGTCACTGGGAGCACTCACCTCAGGGGAATTAAGGTAGTTTCCATGAGACCTGGAGTTCATGTTCATGAGAAGGAGTTGTTGCTGGACCCCTGAATCACGCTGTGGCTTCCTCTCTGGTGATGTGCTTCCTCATTGCCTCATGCATTCCCATCATGAGGTCCTCACTAAAGTCAAGCCAATGGGTTTGCCTGATCTTAGACACTCACCCTCCAAACCTGTGAGCTAAGTAAGCCTCTTCAAGTACTTCATTATAAAAACAAAAAAGGGACACTAGTATGGCTAATAAACTAGTTCCCTGGAAATCAAGTGGACCCCAAGGAAGGTGGCTTTCCAGGAACAGTCTAAAGTTCTCCCTGGCCTCTGAGCAAGTGGAAACAGAAGGAGAGGACCACTGGGTGGATAGCTACCAGGGAGCCAGAGGGGAAAAGGACAGCAGTGGCTGGCCAGGAAAGAGGCTCCTGAAACTTTCCAAATAAACCTCAATATATCACACAGAAGAGCCAGCAGCAGAATTCCCGGTGTCAGGAGAGATGGGGTGGGTGGGAACAGAGTCTGATACTCCACCCTGTGGAACTCACCCAGCCTCGAGAAGAAGCAAGAAGGGTGTTGAATCACATAAAAACAAAATTTGAGACAATGTGTTCTGAAATCTGAAATCCTGTGAGAACATGAAGCCCAAATGTGCTCCCACAAAGAACCCCACCGTGTGGCAGAGGGATCTGACGGGTACTGTAACAGTGAGGAAGAGAAGGGACATTCAGTTCTGTATGCTAAGAGTCCTCAACAAAATGGTTCTAAGAATTGTTCCAGCCATTAAAAATGCCAAGTTAGATTAGCCATTCCATAATCTGGTAGTCTAGAAAGCTACTTCTAAATGGAAAATTACAACCAAAACCATAGCTTTGTTGATATAACAGTGCTGAAGATTCTACCATGTAATAATTTATTAATAAAGTATTAAAAAGAATCTGTGACCTGCCACAAGTGGACTCTTAGTATAGTCATATTGGAACACAGAAAAAGGTTGTTTTTTATAAAATTAATATACAATATGGATAGCAAGTGACAAATTTTGAAACTTTTATAAGTCCTTGAAGTTCACCCTTACAATTTTTTTTTCTACTGAAAAATTTAGTTTTAGGGCTACTTTTTATAGTATAACAAAATTCTCTTTCATTCATTATATATATATATCATTTGATATATTTCTGTTTCATATTAGTTATTGTTGTTGTCTGAGTCAAACAAAACATTCCCAAGAATTTAACCTTAATTGCCTACTAAACCAAGTATGTAAGCATGGAAATTTTGAGTTCTATTAAATATTCTCATAGTATATATAAACATAAATTATGACACATCATAATCAGAATTTTAAGTTAGAATCAGAAACCTAAGCTATTACTAGACCTAATTATCTAAAACATTCCACGCACATAAAAATAAAATATAAGGGCTAGAGAGATAGCTCAGTCAATAAAATGCTTTTTGCACAAGCATGAGGACCCAAGTTTGATCCCTGGCACCCTCATAATGAGCCAGGCATAGTGGAATACTCATAATCCCAGCACTGGGAAGGCAGAGACAGAAGGATCCCTGGAGCCCTCTGGCCAGCCAGCCTAGCCAAATCAGAACACAAGATGGACAGTCACCTGAAGAACGTCACCTGAGGTTGACTTCTGACATATACACACATGTGAACCCACATATACACAAACACTTGCACATTTACAACCAAATATACACAGACTATAATGCAGTAATGCTTAATGTTACCTAGATACAGGCCCTCAGACCAGCAACTGGGGTTTTAACACTCATACCAGAACTAGAGATGTAGATTCAGACTGTTCAAGGTGGGATGTACAGAGGTGGCGTAGACAAAACAAAAATGGGAGTAGTAAAAATATCACCAGCTGACACAGAGATGCTGATGCTCTATGGAGCTTGCCATCTGCCTGGAGGTGGATTCCTCAAGTCAGTAATGCCTGCATGTGGGGTCCACATTTACAGAACCACATGGTATAGAAATCCCAAGCCAAGAACTCCCATGAAAATGGTAATGTCTGGAGTCCCAGGGAAGCAAATGTAAAACTACACTACAAGGGACTTCTGTGTCCACTCACAAAGGATTACTGTTAGGACCACTGTTCTCTCATTATGAACAGCTAGAAAACCTGGCAAAATATATAGAAGAAAATGTCTGGGGCCTTGGCTAGCACACATGCAGAACTGTGATCTCTGAGAGGGATTGGGAGTGAGTTATAAGACAGCTGTGACTCCCCCAGCTTCTCGCCTGGATGGAATGCCCAGGCTGCAGTTTACTTGATTTCAGTCAAAAGGCCAGGAAGCACTCAGGCTGCAGTCCAGGCTCACTGAATTGAAGAAATAGAGACTGAAGTTCAAGGAGGCTGAGATGTCTAGAGTGATGGGAAAGACTGTTAGAGAAACAGTTGCAGAGGCTAGAGGACTACGGGAGGTCTTTGGCTGAGTTCTGGGAAAGAGCCACTGGAATGGCATAGGCAAACAATTCTTGAAGCCCACTTGTGCTGCAAATACCTCCCACTGCCACCAGCCCAAATGAAAAGGCTTTGTGATGCACAGGGCTTTAGGCAGATCCTTGGAAGTGTCTCACTAACTGTGAAGGTAAAACAACCCAGACTAAATGCTGTTCTGGATCTCTAACAAAGCTTAAAAGCAAGCCTCAAATGGCTGTAGAGATGGCTTGGTGATAATAGAATTTGCTCTGCAAGCATAAGGCCCTGAATTTAAACCCCCAACACCCAGATAAAAAGCTGTGAGAGCCTAGAACCCCAGCATTGGGAGGTGGAGACAGGTGGATCCCCAGAGCTCACAGACCAGCCAGCCTAGCCAAAATGGTGTTCCTGATTCAGTGAGAACCCATCTCTAAACAATAGGGCAAGAGAGAAATAATGGGAAAACACAAGACGTCCTGCTCTGGCCTCCTCATGGACAGACACAGATACACTCATATGCATGTACCACACATAAGAAATTTCTGTAAGAGTTGAGCCATGTGTCAGAATAATGAGCAACACACTTCAAAGGGACACAGTATTGAACCATGTAACAATCATGATAGCCAGTTTCCAATCAAAACTTAGCAGGCATATGGACTGGGGATGTAGCTCGGTGATACAGCACTTGTATAGAGCAAGACCCTGGATTCAATTCCCAGCATGCATACACACACACACAGCATATATGCAAAGAAATAGGAAAGGTGTGGCTTATAACAAGAAGCAAAAATAGTCCTAAAAACAAACCCAGAAATGACACGAGTATAATTCAATGATAAAGTTTATGTTAAATAAGTAACCTAAAACAGCCATTATAAATGCATTACAAGCCAGGCCTAGTGGCATAGACTTGTGATTCCAGGTACAGGGAGAGAGGCCGCAGCAGGAGGATCAAAAGTTCAAGTCCAGCCGAGGCAACTCTGTGAGACCCTGTCTTAAAATAAAAAGTAAAAAGAGAGCTGGGAACGTAGCTCATTCGTAGAGCACTTGCCTAGAGCATATGCGAGGCACTAAGTTTAATCCCCAATGCTGCAAAAAATG